GGGGGGGGGGGGGGGGGGACATTCAAAGTGGTCCAAGGGTCAAGGACTCCAATGATCTCACCGTCTTCGAACCTGTTTCCTTGCAGTTCCCTTGAATAGAAATGTGTACAACCCCCTGTCTGCGTTCAACCATTTTCCGTCATCACTCCTACCAGTAGTCTCTGCGAGCAGTCTCTAGCAGCAACTACTACTGAATCTTAGAATCCAAGACCGAGGACAACATCAACCTCATCACGTGTCTCCACAGTCGTTTTCTCGGGGCCGTTCTCCGGTCCAACTCCGCACTCTACTGCGTAAACTCCAAGCCATTCCTCTTGATGAATACAATTTCATCTTTACGAGTGCCGTAGCTGAAAGTGAACCTCATCTGCAATGTTTCCTCGTCTGGCCCTCGCAAGACGCCTGCCATGGTGTGTAATTCACTTATATGAGCCAGATACACTCACCCACACACACACGCACACACACACACACACACGTACACACACACGTACACACAGAAAAAACGACTGACATGAAACCTTCAACCCGCGCAGCCTTAGAGGTTCAGAAAAGACTGCCGGTACAATCCTGGCTTCCCGATTTCGCTCTATACACTCGTCTTCCTTAGGGCTCAAGTCTCCCTCCTTTGACGTGTCGCTGGTGAAGAACGATCAGGCAGGATTGAACATCGTCTTTCAAGGCGACAGTCTCCCCGCAAATCTACCCGGCACCAAACTGTCAGATACACGGACAAGCCTTTACCTGTACGTCCTCTCTCATTCAATCCTCTCCTCTTCTTCTTCTTCTTCTTCTCTCCTTCTCCTCCGTCATCACATATCGAATCGATCCATACTGACGGTAGATCTGTCTCTGAATGCGCATAGTCCGGACTTTTGGCTTCGGTATGTTGAGTAGTGCTGTACGTGACTCTCATGAAGCTCTGGGGACTTAACCTCGGCTGTGGCCTCTAGGGACAACTGTCGATGCAGCGGCTGCGTAAACAGCGACACCAAGCAGAGGAATTTTGACACGTTCAAAGTGAGTGAGGCCGTGACCTTTGACGAGAACATAAAAAAAAAAAAACACATACGTACACACAAGACATTGGCTTCCGGGGACTAACAACCGTGCAGATCGACCACAGTGTCCGTCCACTCCAAATATCCCAAGACGCAGACACCCTGCATGTCAAATGTACGTCCCACCCCCGGATCGAGAGCCAGAACCTCGTCTTCCAATCTGACCCGAAACGCAGGGTCCGACGGCCACCTGTCCGTCCACCCATGGTCCTGGCTCCTGAGCGTGGTCAGCCGGCCCTCCACTGATCTCACCCACGCCTGGACCTCGGGCAAGAGGACATGGGACGCCAGCGTCAGCGACCACAGGCCACCAGATGTGTCCTACGATGCCGTCATGGCGACAGACGGCGGCCGACCTGCCATGGCCCAACTCATGCAGACTCTCGTAACTGACCAGCCGACCATCCTTCCATTCCCTCTCTTGACACCCCAACAACGTCACTGACTCAACCTCCCGTCCAAGTGTGAATACGGCTTTGCCTTTGTAAAGGACAGCCCCGCCTCCCCCGCGGCAACGGAGAGCCTCCTCTCGCGGATCGGCCCCATCCGAAACACCCACTACGGCGGCTTCTACGATTTCGTCCCCGACCTGGCCTCCGCCGACACGGCGTACACCAACCTCGCCCTCGCAGCCCACACTGACACCACCTACTTCAGCGACCCGGCGGGCCTCCAGTCCTTCCACATGCTGTCCCACCACCCGCCCCCCCGAAAGCAGCAGCAGCAGCAGAAGCAGCAGGAGGAGGAGGAGGAGGAGGAGGACGGAGGAGCCCCGCTGGGCGGCCAGTCCCTCCTGGTAGACGGCTTCCGCGCCGCTGTGGAGATGCGGGAGCGGTGGCCCGAGCACTTCGACACCCTTCGTAGCCTCGGAATCCCCTGGCACGCGAGCGGCAACGACGACGCCTCCATCACCCCAGACAGGAGGTACCCCGTCATCGAGACACTGGGGGGCCAGCTCGACGCCCCCATCCGCAGGGTCCGCTGGAACAATGACGATAGGGGTGTCGTGCCCCCCGACAGCGCGGACCGCTGGTACGCCGCTGCGAGGAAGTGGGATTCGCTCCTCAAGGACCCGGCCAACGAGTTCTGGTTCCAGCTTACACCCGATCGTGTGCTGAGTGAGTGGGAGCTACTGTCTACAACCCTCGTTCTGATCCGGGACCTTGCTGACGCGCCTTCACCCACGATGCAGTATTCGACAACTGGCGTGTTCTCCATGGGAGGAGCGCCTTTGAAGGCGTCAGGCGCATCTGCGGCGGCTACAGTACGTCTCGTCACCTGCCTGGACGGTCGGGGCGCACGGCTAACAAAACAAACCGCAGTCAACCGCGACGACTACCATTCTCAGTGGAAGATCTCGTGCCACCCTAGAGAGAATGTCGAGCGCTACAATCTCACACAGAGGTAATCGTTGGATCCTGCGCGTGTGCGTGCGCGTGCGCGTGCGCACGAGCTGCAGAAAACAGAGAAGAGGGAAGGCTTGAAGGAAGAAGGATTGAAGGAAAGAAGCAATGATGAACTATCCCGTCGCACCTGCAGTGATATTCCACGCGATGACCAGTCACCACTCCGTCACGTACTGGTAGCCTAGTAGGTTGCATGCACTGTAATCACTCGAGAGCAGAGCAACCGCATCTGTAAATTGACATGGATGTCTACGGGATGACGGACCTTTGACCACCACACTCGTACATATTCATGTGGTATTATCCACAAAACGGAAGAGGAAGGAAAGAATATCGACACGTCCGACAGGTTAGATATACCATCAGCAGGAATTATCCAAATCTTCTGTAAGCTGTACCATTTGACAGGAAAGCTGGACTTTTGATTCCTTTCTGCAGCACGGCCGTTACTGACCCAAGCTCGCTCGGTCAACCGGTGTAGGCGGGACTGTTACAGGCTACCGTACAGGCTATCGATACGGCGTATAATATGTGATATTACTAAGTACGGTATGCGCTATCCCGACTACGCCTCCAGCAATGAATGCCCTATGATACTCCCGTATTACCTAGGCCTCTACAGATTAACCTGTACATCTGATAATATTACCCCTCCCCCGCGCACCACCCAACCCCTCCAATGTAATGCAACGCTCTCTCAAGCGCACCTGTCACAACTTCTGTCCATCTAGGTACGCCAAGGCTAGTGTTAGATATTACTAGACACATGCTCCTCCGACAGAAGATGGTAGTATCAGCGACTTCGAATCTAGCGACACCTGTTAGTGCGTGCTAACATCCGCTGCTAGCAATATGCCAACTTTTACCCGAACAACTGTCACCCACTGCACTGACCTGAACCCTTTTCGCACGTCTCCTCACCCGCCCAGGAACAGGAAGCCTAAAATCACGGAGAATACTCGTCGCCAACTGCGCTTGTCCATGCCACACGCCCCGCTCTCATGAAGATGCCCCTCTTCCCCCCCCGCCCTCCGCGTCATGTTTGGGGGGAGGGAGGCGTCCGGTACAGATGGTAAGAAGAAAGGGGAGAAGCAGCATATCCATCTCATCACGATCATCACTATATCAGCCATCGATAGTACCAATATAGTAATAAACTGATAGTACGTATTACTATTTGAGATCGTGACTAGATGCGCCTACGGAATCGCCGTCACAACGGGGCGTCTATTTCGTGCCTTGAATGCTGGTAATGCTGCGTAATATCACTCCTTCACGTCGAAGAACACCAGTGTGGGGGGGTTGGGGGGGGTTGGTTGAGGGCGAGGAACAAACCTGGTGAGCCCATGTCCAGCGGAGGAGCTCCGTCGAAGCTGGGCTTGACAAGAAGAGTAATAATAATAAAACATCTTCTCCTTGGTTATAAAAATGACGATCTCCCTTCAAAGTTTAGAGCCTGTTTTTATCTTCTATACCAAATTTTCAACCCCGTCTTCTTCACTTTCTTCCGTTCTTATTCAACTCGTGTCATTATTCTGTTGTCGACAGGCATATCCGTCTGCTTCCTTCTCTCACCCATCCCCCAACTGCTAATACTATGTGCACGACCTGAGATCGTATAGCTTCACCCATCACATCATCCAACAATGGCCACCGATATGCAGAACGGCGCATTCCGCCACAACAACACGGACGTCCCTGAAGGTCAGCGCGTCATGCCCCTCTTCTCCCTCAAGGGTCGCACCGCCATCGTCTCCGGCGCTGGTGCAGGAATCGGCCTCGCCGTCGCACACGCTCTGGCTGAGGCTGGTGCCAACGTGGCCATCTGGTACAACAGCAACAAGCAGGCCATCGCCGAGGCCGAGAAGATTGAGACGACGTACGGCGTCAAGTGTATGTTCCGTCCGCCCTCTGGGTCCTCCTTTTACCTCTCTCCCTATCTCCCCCCCCCTCTCTCTCTTACACCGCACACGCTCTCCTACCACACACGCGCTCTCTCTTATACCACACACTCTCCTTCTCATTCTTTCTTTTTCTTTGCTGGAGAGCTGTATTATTACCTGTAGTACTACTAGCAGTAGCATCGCTAGCCGAGTCGCACGATACTGACAGAGAGAGATATAGGCCGCGCATACCAGGTCAACGTCGTCTCATCCGAGGACGTGGAAAAGGCCATCAACGGCATTGTCGGCGAGTTCAACGGCCGTCTCGACGTCTTCGTCGCCAACTCCGGCATCGCCTGGGAGGATGGCGCCTTTCTTGACGGCCCCGTCGACACAGCCAAGAAGGTCATGGCCGTCAACGTCGACGGCGTCATGTGGTGCGCCAAGTACGCCGGTGCTCACTTTCGCCGCCAGAAGACCGAGGGCACCACCGTCGACGGCAAGAAGCTCGACAACTTCATGGCGGGAAGCTTCATCGCCACGGCCTCCATGAGCGGCAGCATCGTCAACATCCCCCAGCTCCAGGCCGTGTACAACAGCTCCAAGGCTGCCGTCATTCACTTCTGTAAGTTTTCTCTCTCCCTCTCCCTCTCTCCCTCTCCCTCTCCCTCTCCCTCGTAGTCTTCCTTCTCCTCTCTTCTCCCCCTCCCCTGCCCAACCTCAATATATCTAACCAAGCACGCCGGTCAAATAGGCAAGAGCTTGGCTGTCGAGTGGACCGGCTTCGCTCGCTGCAACAGCGTCTCCCCCGGATACATCAAGACGGAGATTTCAGCCTTTGCGGACGCCAACGTCAAGAACCAGTGGAAGGGCAAGACGCCGATGGGGTACGTCTGATTTTGCTGCATTTCTTCTCCTTCTCCTTTCCATCCTCGACACCGCTTTGCTAAGCAATGCCTATCGTTTTCAGCCGCGAGGGAGAGGTCAATGAGCTCAAGGGCGCCTTCCTGTACCTTGCGTCCGATGCCGCCTCTTACACGACCGGTCTCGACATGATCGTCGACGGCGGTTACTCTCTCCCTTAAAGAGTGTCCGCCCCAAGCGCGTGCTGCACTCTCCCGACTCCGCGGAGGGACACAAATTCGGTGTGTACCCGTCCGTCTCCAATACCCCACACGTGCGGATACATTTTACGTCGCAGCAGAGACGACTGGCGGCGCCCTTTTTTTTTTTCTTCTTTTCTTTTCTTCTCTTGAGCTGCAGGTGATGAACCAGGGCCGCCACTATAAGAGAGAGAGAGAGAGGGAGRGAGRGRGGGRGGGGGGGGGGGGGGGGACATGCGAGGTGAGCGTCCACAGAATAGCGGGGGAGAGGGAGAAAGACAAGACGCATGGCTCACCGATACAAAAAGGTGTGATGCTCGCTCCAGTCCTCTTCCGTTTAGCGTATGGATATTATTATATATTACCTGTAGTTGCGGTACTCGGACATACCTGCCATACTCTGCATCTGTGGCCGGGAACAGATTGTCATGATTGGTATTAGGTAGACCGCCGCATAGTTCTATCCTCAACTGTTATTTCTCTCTCTTCTACTGCTATCCTCCATCTCGTCGGTGTCTGTCTCCATCCTGCTGCGTTTGCCGTGTCCGGATTTCAGGGGTCTACCGGTCCACGGATAAGACTCCGTATGGATCAGGATGAAGTAGTAGTAGGCGGGGATCTATAAGACTCCTAGACTCGATGACCCCTGGTTCTGGTGGCTGTGTGCTCGTATTAATACTGGTGGTATTATTACTAACGTAACGGGGAGGACCCCTGGGGCTGGGATGATCCATGGACCCGTGAGACGGGGGCAGAAGAGATAGTTTTGACGATAATAAGGATGAAAGAATGCGATGGATTCAGAGACTAAATGTACCTGTACAGGTAATATTATCAGGGTACAGATTACAGGCGGTGGGACTGGAAGGGAAGATGTTGTATCGACGAGTGTTCAATTATGCGCATCTCTCTCTTCCTATTGTGTACCTGTCATCTGTTGCTCTGCATTGACTTGCTACGAGTAGCACTAGGAGGAATTGGAGGATTTGCCCCTCGGCAGGTGGTCTACAAGGAGCCCGTCAGACTGTACAGATTACAGATTACAGACTACAGATTACATATCAATAAGAGATAGAGTCTAGAGGTGAAGGCGGCCGGCGTCCATACGAGTGCCTATCGGAGACATCACTACTCCGTACCGTAGTGGCAGCAGTGAGGCTAGATAGGTGATTTAGCGATCAGTACAGGCCGTCATCCGCCAAAGACGTCGAATACGCTGGCCACACAGCTGGACATTACAGGTCTCCTCTGCTAGTCTTTCAACCCTCCGCGAATACGATGGAGTAATATAGTACTCGTACTCGTACTGCTGCTGCTGCTGCTGCTGCTGCTGCTGCTGCTGCTGCTGCTAATGCTCGCCTCAATCCTTCTCTTCTCCTGGCCCCCCTCCCCCCACCCCACACCAGATTTGTGTCCTTACCGTTGCCTTCCCACTTGGTGTGCCCCGCTCCTAGACGAGAGACCGCCAACGAGGAAAGCTGGTGCTCTGTATTACGCCTGTGGCCGTGTTGCTCCTGTGCCACACACTGGGACCTCCTTCAGACACTCTCCCTCTCTGCCTCTCTCTCTTACAACTTCCTTTCCGCCCCCGCCCTCTTTTTCGAGATCCTCACTGTTCTGGACAGCACCGCCGTCACTTTGCTTTTCCTCGGGGAAGAGATCGACCACTACCTCGTCGGCGTTGATCGCACAGCAGTCTCCCACCTAACTTGTTCGCTCATTTTTTCCCCTCCCTTCTGTAGAGAGAGAGAGAGAGAGAGAGAGAGAGACGCAGCAGCAGCTTCAAGACAGCTTGCCGCGCCACCTTGGTCGGCACTGGCTGCTTTTTCGTGTCTTACCTCTCCAGGTTATTGTCATACCCCCGCGCCTCCTATCGACAGCAGCCCCTCATGTCAGCAACCATGGAGCCCGATGCCGACCCTGCCGCCAACCCGGGCGAGCGTCGGAACCAGCAGTATGTCGACAATGCCATCCGTGCTATTCAGGACAAGAAGCCCGTACCCGAGATCGACTTCTCCATCCATACCATGGATGATGGCACCCAAGTGAGCACCGTCGAGCGCGTTTGCAAAGGTGCGTCGGACATGTGCTTGTTTCCGTGAACCGCATTCGATCTCTGTCACCGTCCATGATCTCTTGGTTGGCTGCTCCCTGTCGGCAGTTGTGTCGTCTTGCAATCCGCCGTTTCTATCTGATTACTGCAGCGGGATACTGATCTTCGCGACGACCTGAAAACAGATGTTCAAGCGCCAGCTACCTTTCTCCCCACCGACGAGCAGTTCTTCGAGGATGACACCCACAGCAAGCCCGACCTCAACTTCCTGAAGCAGCACCTCTACCGCGAGGGTCGTCTGACCGAGGAGCAGACCCTGTGGATCATCGCGAAGGGGACCGAGATCCTGCGCTCCGAGCCCAACCTGCTGGAGATGGACGCCCCCATCACCGTCTGTGGCGACGTCCACGGCCAGTACTACGATCTGATGAAGTTGTTCGAGGTCGGCGGTGACCCCGCCGAGACGCGCTACCTCTTCCTCGGCGACTACGTCGACCGTGGTTACTTCAGCATAGAGTGCGTCCTCTACCTCTGGGCTCTAAAGATCCACTACCCCAACTCGCTGTGGCTGCTGCGCGGAAACCACGAGTGTCGCCACTTGACCGACTACTTCACATTCAAGCTCGAGTGCAGGCACAAGTACTCCGAAGCCATCTACGAGGCCTGTCTCGAGTCTTTCTGCTGTCTCCCCCTGGCTGCCGTCATGAACAAGCAGTTCCTCTGCATCCACGGCGGTCTCAGCCCCGAACTGCACACCCTCGACGACCTCCGAAGTGTACGTATCGTTGCTGGTGGTGCTGTATCTCCGGCGTGCACCGTACTGACCTGACCACCGTCGCCCGCAGGTTGACCGTTTCCGCGAGCCCCCCACCCAGGGCCTCATGTGCGACATCCTCTGGGCCGACCCTCTCGAGGACTTTGGCCAGGAAAAGTCGAGCGAGTACTTCTTGCACAACCACGTCCGTGGCTGCTCCTACTTCTTCTCGTACCCTGCCGCCTGCGCCTTCCTCGAGAAGAACAACCTGCTCTCCGTCATCCGCGCCCACGAAGCCCAGGATGCCGGCTACCGAATGTACCGTAAGACGCGCACCACCGGCTTCCCCAGTGTCATGACCATCTTCTCCGCCCCCAACTACCTCGACCTCTACAACAACAAGGCCGCCGTGCTCAAGTACGAGAACAACGTCATGAACATCCGCCAGTTCAACTGCACGCCCCACCCATACTGGCTGCCCAACTTCATGGATGTCTTCACCTGGTCGCTGCCCTTTGTGGGCGAGAAGCTGACCGACATGCTCATCGCCATCCTGAGCACCTGCTCCGAGGAGGAGCTCAAGGACGAGACCCCGTCGGCCTCGTCACCGGGCACCCTGGGCTCGCCGGCCGCCGACTCCGAGGACCCCAACAGCATCGAATTCAAGCGGAAGGCCATCAAGAACAAGGTCCTCGCCATCGGCCGCATGTCGCGCGTCTTCCAGGTCCTGCGAGAGGAGTCGGAGCGCGTCAGCGAGCTCAAGACCGTCTCCGGCGGACGTCTACCGGCAGGAACCCTCATGATGGGCGGCGAAGGTATCAAGGATGCCATCAAGACCTTCGAGGACGCTAAGAAGGTCGACCTGCAGAACGAGCGTCTGCCCCCCTCCCACGAGGAGGTGGTCAAGCACCATGAGGAGGAGCGCGCCACGGCCTTCCAGAGGGCCGCCGAGGAGGCTGACAATGACAAGAAGCTCCAGCAGCTGGGGAGGAGATTGAGCACGTGAGTCTTTTGCTCTCTTCTCTTTTCTAGTCTCTCACCAAAAAAAAAAAAAAAATCCTGCTCTTTCTCTCTTCTCCTTCACTTCTCACCTTTCCTCCTTCTCTCTCCCTTCTTCTTTCTTTGTAACCTGCTTCCCAAAATGAGAGGGGGGAGAGAAAAGCTGACCATGTTGAATGACAGGGACCGTAAGACGAGGACCGAGTCGAAATGAGAAAAGAGGGCATGGGATATGAGGCTTTTCATGTAGCATCATGGATGAGGGAGCCAATGGGCCCCTTGTACGTCGCCGACGAGCGGTTTTTTTTTATTGAAAGAAAAGGAAGAGACAAGAAGACCCAATGTTATGATTTTATGCCTACATTGACGAGACTGGGGACATGACTTATCTTTCTCACTTGACCTTTATTTCCTTTACCAGTCACCGGTATCCATCATGCATCACGGAAGCAGGACTGTCTACGCAGAAGGTGTTGGGAATTAGACAGAAAAACAGGGGCTCCTTTTTCTCGTCTTGCTACACGCATGTCTCTTTTTTTCGTGTGTTCATTCGGACAATGGAGTGTTTTCTTTCCGGATCAGGAAAGCTGGAGGGTGCCGGGGTGCCGATGGTAGGGTTGTTGTACATTGATTAGATGACGCCATCTTGGCTTTGAAGGTTCTACAAGAGATAGTATTATCTACGATGATGTCCTTGTACTACCAGAAATGACTTATATTCGAACAGACCATGATGAATTGAACCTCTCCCTCTCCCGTCTCTCTCTTCTTCCTTCTTCTCTGTTCTCTTTTTTTTTTAAAAAAAAAAAAAAGAAAAAAAAACTTATTTTATCTAGTCTTATTCTTGAGTCGTTCATCATAACATTACAAGACCCGCTGTACCAGCTCGAGGAAATCGAAAAACGTCTGTCTCTGCGCGTCAGCCCTGCTACTCGCCTTCGCATCAGCCTGGAACTGGGCCAGGTCCACGCCCAGCCCGAGTACGAGGATGCGCCTATCGTCCGGCGCACGCAGGGAAATCTGGCTGGCGACCTGCGCGGCGTACAGCTGGCCGATGGTCTCCCGGTCCTGACCCCCACCGCCCAGGAGAGTCTTGGGAGTGAGGTGGGCGGAGGGGAGGAGGGAGGTGCCAGCCGAGGGGAGGGCCATCTCAACTTGGTCGGCTGAGGAGCCTGTTAGGGGGACTTGGATCTGAGGGCATCCGTCAGCGTGCTCTGAGAGAAGTGGGCGGGGAGGAGGAAGAAGAAGGAGGAAGAAGAATAGAGGTGAAAGTTTTATCTACCCATTGTGATAATCTGCCATGCTGAGATATAGTGAGGAGTATCTTGTCCGAAAAGTCGAGACGGCTTACTTCGGTGGGGATGGAGCCTAATGTGCCGGTTATCTGACGGCTGCCTGCCGGGAAGGTGTCTGGTCTGGGATCCATCGTTGTGGGAGAGAAGAAAAGAAAGAAAAGAAGAAGAAAAGAAAAAGTGTGTTCTGGTGAGACCGATGATGATGTTGGCTGGATTCAGGCGCGCGGGTGGGATAATCGCTGGAGTTGGAAGTTCAACTTGTCCGTGGTGTAGGGTGAGCTGCCCCACCATGAGGGTCCGTCTACATTACTGTACAGTAAGTATTATTATATCAATCAATATATCAATACTGGTGAGACAATAGCACTCCCTACAAGTACTAATACAAGAATAGTATGGGAGGGGAGTAGAACGGAAGACGTGGATATATAGGAAGATTGTTGGAGATGAATATGAGCGTTGTCTGAAGTGAATTCAGGGTGAGAGGTCATCATCACTGCGAGCTTGGGGTTCGCAGGCATCATGGACGGACATCTATACTGTATCAGTAGTTCAAAAAAAAAAAAAAGTCCCCGGTCCGCCCTATACTACAATATTAATAATATGAAATCTGTACCGACACCTGTACGGTGAGTGGCCTGCCTTCCTTCTTCCAAGTGGCTCTGCCGCGTAGTGCAGCGCTGTCAGCGCGGGGGCAACTGACTGCCAGCCTGCCACAGCTCACAGCAAGCGAAAAGTGGAGACGAAACCACACCAACACTAATCTCGTTCGTACCTTCCCGCTAGACCCTTGTGGCTTGACATGATATTTTTTTTTTAGGCAAAGAGGCAGATGGTCAATAAAGACATCTACAGACATTTTCTTTCATTGTAATCTGTACACACAGGATATATCAGACACTCATATTTGGTCCTTGCCGCATCATCATACATGTCAGATATCGAGATTTCGTACATCAAATTATCCATCATTACCACTTCCCCCTCATTGCCATCATCACCACCCCCATCTTACCCTTCTGGCTATAGCCATGGCCGGCAAGTTTGTGCCTCGCCAGAGGAAGCACAAGGTTCTAGCCCGACAGAGGGATGAGAAGAACTCTCGCCATGAAGTCGTCGACACAAACCAGGAGGTCCTGCCTGCCAATCGGGAGCAGGAACTCCAGAAGAAGAGACGTCAGATGAAGGAGGAACTTCGTCAGGATGGCATGAGCAGCAAGAAAGCCAAACGCTTGGAAAAGTACATCGACCAAAAATTGAGAAAGGATGAAAACCGCCAGCTCTTGGCCGATCTGGCAAAGAAGAAGGTCGACACCAGCCTTTACGCCAGCAGCAAGGCTCTCGGGAGTGGCAGGGAGACAAAAAAACAGGCCCTGAGGCGGGCCATGAGGGAGCAGAAGGCCGGGATCAACGATGGAGATGATATCCTTCTCCAGGAACGGAAAACGGCTTCCCTCGGCGCTGATGCCGACTCGGACAGCGGAGAGGATTCGGAAGATGAGCCCACGCCTTCTACGGACTCAACGTTAGTCAGGGGGGAAGAGACGACTGCCGAGAAGACATCCATTCAGCGAGGGGCCAAGGAGGAAGCATCGTCGTCCCAAGGCGCACCTGCTGTCGGGGCCGGTCTGAAGCGACCTCTGGATGTCGACGAGAACGGCCGGCCCGTCATTCCCAAACGCCAGAAGAGGGGCGGAGTGAAGTCGAAATTCTCGCTTGCTCCGTCTCGAGCCGCCGAGGAGCCCGAGCACGAGGAGTGGGGCGGGTTCAGCAGCGACGATAGGTCGTCGGTAGACAAAGACGAGGATCATGAGGCGGGGAGCGATGCCGAGGACACATCATCCTCCGGAAGCCCAGGGGGCTCCTCCGATGACGACGAGGACTCGGGTGAGTCCGATGGCGATGAAGCTACGGCACCCAGAGTTTCAGCTTTCAAGGCCTGGGCCCAGCGACAGATCAACGAGGTCAATGGCTCCCCATCCGATCACCAAACGACGACCAACACGGTGATACCCAAGCCCGCAAATTTTGTCCCCCGAACACCCGAGCAGGAGCCCCTACCGGCGGAGCTCCAACCGACCGCCGACAACGGCCGCAAGGCCTTCAGCATCGCAGTCGAGAGGAGGCCCGAGATCCAGGAGGCCAGGCTCCAGCTGCCCGTTGTCTCCGAGGAACAGCGCATCATGGAGGCGATACACAACAATGACATCGTCGTCATCTGCGGTGCAACCGGCTCCGGAAAGACGACGCAGATACCTCAGTTTCTCTACGAAGCCGGATACGGCTCACCAGACTCGCCGACCCCTGGCATGATTGGAGTCACGCAACCTCGCCGCGTGGCCGCCGTGAGCATGTCGAAACGTGTGGCGACTGAGCTGGGCGGCAGCCACTCGTCCAAGGTCGCCTACCAGATCCGGTTCGAAGGCACAGCCAAGAAGGACACGGCCATCAAGTTCATGACCGACGGCGTGCTTCTGAGGGAGGTGGCCGAGGACCTGTCCCTGGCCAAGTACTCAGCCATCATCATTGATGAAGCCCACGAGCGTAGCGTCAACACGGACGTCCTCATCGGCATGCTTAGCCGAGTGATCAAGCTGAGGAGCGAGCTCGCTGAGGAGGATCCCGAGAAGAAGCCTCTGAAGCTCGTCATCATGTCTGCTACCCTCAGGATAGAGGACCTTACGATGAACACCCGACTATTCGCCAAGGCCCCGCCAGTCCTCGAAGTCGAGGGCCGCCAGCATCCTGTCACCATGCACTTTTCCCGCAAAACGTCAGCCGACTACGTCGACGAGGCGTTCCGCAAGATCCGCCGTGGACACAAGAAGCTGCCGCCTGGAGGGTTCCTCGTCTTCCTGACGGGAAGGAACGAGATTGTGCATCTGAGCAAGCGTCTCAAGGAGGCGTTCGGAGGCTTGAAGACGGCCGAGCCCCCCAAGGTTCGGATCCCGGCGAGCGAGGCTCCAGTCGAGGCTGAGGATGTCGAATTCGGCGACGACTTTGAAACCGGCAACTCGAATGATGTGGATGACTTTGACGAGATCATGTCGGACGATGAGGGGGATGAGGATGAAGAGTTTGATGTTGAAGAAAACCAGGAGGCAGCACCCCTCAGAGCCAAGATCCTACCCCTCTACTCGCTGCTGCCCACGCAGGAACAGCTTCGGGTATTCGAAGAAGTGCCAGCGGGCACTCGGCAGATCATCTTGGCGACCAACGTGGCCGAGACCAGTCTGACAATCCCCGGGATACGCTACGTCTTCGACAGTGGCAGGTCCAAGGAGCGTCACTATGAGCCCCTGACGGGTGTCCAGAGCTACGGAGTCGGTTGGATCAGCAAGGCCAGTGCCAGCCAAAGAGCCGGCCGTGCCGGCCGGACAGGCCCAGGTCACTGCTACCGCCTCTACTCGTCGGCCGTCTACGAACGTGACTTTGCCGACTTTGCCACCCCCGAGCTGCTGCGCATGCCTCTGGAGGGTGTTGTGCTCCAGCTCAAGGCCATGAACCTCACAAAGGTCGTCAACTTCCCTTTTCCCACTCCGCCGGACCGCCAGGAGCTCGCCAAGGCAGAGAAGGTTCTCACATATATCTCCGCTCTTGCCGACACGGGTCATGTCACCGAGCAGGGGAGGAGCATGTCCGTCTTCCCCCTGGCACCCCGATTTGCAAGGATCCTTCTCATAGGCCACATGTACGGCTGCCTGCCTTACACCATCGCCATGGTCGCCGCCCTGTCGTCCGCAGAGATCTTCCTCCCAGAGAGCCAAGCAATTCCGGAGCTTGCAGCAGACCACGACGCTGGCGTCCGGACAAATGCTGATGTCATGGCTGAGGACCGCCAGGCCGACGCCAGGAGGGAATTCAGCAAGGTCCACCGGACCTTTTGCTCGCTAGACGACAAGTCGGATGCCATGAAGCTTCTCCAGGTGGTTGGCGAATTCGCCCACGACGACACGGAGGAGTGGTGCAGGAGCCATTTTGTCCGGTACAAGGTCCTCAAGGAAGCCCAGCAGCTCCGCCGACAGATCACAGACATCGTGCGAGCCAACGTTGCGGCCTACGCCGCCTTCACCTTTGAACCCAGGCTCGGCCGGCCCACGGCCCTGCAGGTATCGGCCCTCAAGCAGATTGTGGCCGCAGGCTTCATCGACCAGGTCGCCATCCGCGCCGACATGTCACCCTACCCTCCGGAGCAGTACCGCAAGCCCCGCCGCCCCATCGATGTGCCCTACATGACTCTATCCCCGCTGCAAGGAGGCGATGATCCCGAGGACGGCCTGGTGTACATCCACCCCGAATCCCCGATGGCGCACCTGAGCACCCAAGAGTGCCCCGGGTACATCGTCTACGCCTACCTTCAGCGGTCTGCCCCATCGGGCCTGGATTCGACCAAGAAACCCAAGACGAGGATGCACTCCCTCACCGACCTGACGGCCAAGCAACTCTTTGGACTGGTCAAGGGAACGCCGCTCGTCAGCTACGGGAAGCCCATCAAGGAAGTCAGGACATGGGTAGCGGACGGTACTTCGATGCGGGAGAGCTGGGTGGTGCCATACGTCAGGTCTGAGTCGACGCATGGACAAGGATGGCCGATGCCAGCTACAAAGCTGAAGCAGAAGAAGACAATCAAGGGATGGGTGGTGGTGAATTGAGGGAGTTCGCGACGCTGGTTTTCTTTTTTTTTTTTTTTATAAAAAAAAAAGAGTAGTGTTATTCGTACGATACCGCATTGCTAACCACATGTTTTACCATCCATTCAAGAAGGACATTGGTTCGGGGAATCACTGGTAATGAAGGCAAAACATGAGAAGACAGAATCCTTCATTATCCTTTTGCCCAAATCTAACGTACTTCATCATGATGCTGATGATTGTCCCTGTACTCGTGACCACACGGGGGTATCAAATATGCGCCTCTGTCCGTTGTAATAAGCATGAACTCCAAGTCGGGGGGGGGTTCTTTTCTTTCTTTCTTTTCTTTCTTTCTTCTCTTTCCCCATTTCCCCCTTTCTTTCTTTCGCTCCCCTTTCCTCTCTCGTTCCCTATCAGGAAGCTGCAGGTGTGGTAGCGGCGGATCCCTTGCTGAGCTTGCTCTTGCGACGTTTCAGCTTGGGCTGGGACCCAGACTTTGATTTTTCCCTCGCCGACGCGCCGTCCTTCCTGGCGCCGCCGTCGTCAGACGACGACTTGGCATTGATGGCCGACGGCCCATTCATGGCGCCTATCCCGCCCTGCTGGACTCCCAGCTGAGGCGGCGGCACGGGCTTGCGACCCGTCGACGAGAGGTGGAACTCTCCCGGCCTGCCGGTGATGGGGTTCTCGTCAATGTACTCGCCCCCGAAGCGCATGTGGACCAGGAAGGCCTCCTCCGCCGATCTCTCCAGAGAGGCGTCGTCGTTGGCGGGGTCGGCGGCGGCAGCTGCGGCGGCAGTCTTGTTGCTGTTGCTGTTGCCGGTATCGGGCATGGGTGTGTCGTCTTTGCTGGTTGCGGTGGGCTCGTCTGCCGCCGCCGCCGCCGCCGTCGTCGTCGTCGTGGGTTTGCGGGTCTGGCTGTTGGGGAGGTAGTAGGCGTGACCTAGCTCTGGATGCCATTTACGGACGCTCTCTGCCTCGGGGAGGGCTTTTGACATGGAGTTTGATATGGACATCTTGGGTTAAGCGGTCAACGGTAAGGATCAAGTCTTTACAACGATGGTGGCGAGGAGGGAAATGGACAAGGATAAAGGAGAAAGAAGAAGAAGAAGAAGAAAACCACGTACAATCCTAGATGCGAGGATATCACCCAAGGTGGGAGCCATGTAAATGTTCTCACCGACGATAAAGTACGAGGCATGGATGGATACTTCGCCGTCCCTCCTCCTGGTCTGCTTTCGCACGACCCAGACGCCCGTGCCCATGCCAGGACCGGTCTCGGCCGGCTCCTCGCCTACCATGAACTCCAGGCCGGTCATGGTCCTGAGGCGGCCCTCGAAGGCCTCGCGCGTCTGGATGAAGTGGTACATGTCGGGATTGCTCATGGCCTGGCTCATGATGACGGCGTTGTTGGACGTGCGCTCGAAGAAGGGCGACTCGGCAAAGTAGAAGAGGATGGTGTTGGAGTGGAGGGCGCCCAACTGGGCTATCGAGGCGGGGGAGCGCCATTGGATCTCGTCGAGGGGAGGGTCGTTGGGACTAGGCATTTCGCTGTCTATATTATATGAAGTCTGCTTCTGCCGGTATTATGCCTGGTTGTTGTCGTCACGTCTGGTGGGTTGCAGACTGTTTTTGAGATGAACGGTTGTTGGTGGGCCGTTGACGTAGGACTGGAGGAGCTGCTTCAGAGCTACTTTTTTTTTTTTTTGACCCCAGGCGTCGTTTATTTTTATTTTTATTTTTATTCATCATCTGGTTATTATCATTTACTTGGCGCTTTGGCCCAGTCAGTTGAAACCTCTTAACCCTGCAATCTGCAGCCTACACGCACGCCTCCATCATTTAATCATTACGAACACGACACGGAAAAAGAAGAAGAAAAAGAAGGCATACGAATCTGCTGGAAACCCCCCCCCCGGAAAGGCAAAAAGGACAGTCAAAGGAAAAACACAAACGCTGCCACTCAGCCATGGATCTCGTATCCACCGTCCGCAAATCGGGCTCCCGCGGCGGCGTCAACTTCAGCTGGGACGAAGTCGCCAACTCGTCCCACCGCGAGAACTACCTGGGCCACAGCCTCAAGGCGCCCGTCGGACGATGGCAGCAGGGCCGCGACCTAGGATGGTACGCCAAGGCTGACGGCGACGGCAGGCCCAACGAATCGGGCGAGACGGACGCCGAGCGTATCGAGAGGGAGCGCAAGGAGGAGGTGCGCAGGATCAAGGAGGCGGAGGAGGATGCCATGGCGCGCGCAATGGGGCTCCCGCCTCCACAGCGTGACACGTCGGGCGCCAATGCCGTCGAGGTCGGCACGAAGCGACGGATAGGCCCTTCCCTCTCTTCGTCCGCTGCTGCTGCTGCACCGGAAAAGGAGAAGGAGGCTGGCATGGCGTCGTCGTCGTCGTCGAAGCGAGGGCGATCGAGGAGGCACGGCGAAGACGACGACGGCGACGACAACGAAGATGATGATCAGGATCGGGAAAGGAGACGTCGTCGCCACCGTCACCACCACCATCGTCGTCACCAGGATAGGAGTCGGAGTCGGAGTCGGAGTCGCGATAGGAGGAGGCGTCACCACAGGAGTCGGAGTCGCGACCCGGAGAGGCGTCACAGACGTCATGAGCACGAGAGACACAGGAACCGCAGCCGCGACGGGGGGGGCGATCGTGAACGACGGCCCGAACGACGGTCGCACAGGGATAGGAGTAGGAGCCGAGCGCGCGATGCTCCCGATGAACCGAGGAGGGATAGGTATCGTTCACGGTCAAGGGAAGGGCGAGACCGCAACGTCAACCCGACGCAGCGTCCGTGAGAAACCGCATGGGACTTTTTTTTTTCGTTTTTTTTTTCTGCGTGACAGTATTGATCATGTCTGTTGAATTACACCGAGTGTACAGATTATATATCTATTCCATTCCTATATACAGCGTCTGATGACATCATCTATGCCAACCACCCACTACGCGAGACTGCATATCTACGAGTGACGGGTGAAGCTCAAGATATCGGGGATCAAGCCGGCTTATATCCATGTGTAATACTGGGCTCCGTATTACACTACATGCATGAGGTACTATCAGCTATTGCCCTTTCTGAGCACGGCCGTCAATCAAGGATCGGCTCTCCCCACGTGCAAGCCACGATACGCTTTCGCAAGTCCGAAGAGATGGCATTTCCGCTTCTCCCCTTCTTCTTTTCTTTGACGGCCAGCCGCCAACCTGTCGGGAGCGTGTCATTTCAAAGCCATTAACATTGGATTCAACAATGACATGTACTACAGAGCAGGCGCTTTGACCCTTGGCGCACATTCTTACACAATACGCTATACCAGAAGTGTGGAAGCGTGAAGAGATTGAAGAACGGACAAGGTGTAATTGGCAAGAAGTAAAAGGTGCCTCCCCCTCTTCTTCACATGGAAAGGGAAGCTGGGACTTGCCGTAGTCCTAGTCCTAGCTCTCTCGCGGGGCCTTGCTGGCTTCTCATTCTCAACTGGCCCATTGATATTGTCGGAGTGAGATCGGATCCTCGTGTGCATGCGCATGCATCACTGTTGATTGAAGAAGAAGAAGAAGAAGACACGATGGCCCAACTAGAAACTGACGAGTCTCGGGGACCTTTCCTGGGTGTCGACGAGATTGCCGGGCAGGCTGTCCCGCGGTGGAAGGAGAAGATGGGACAAGGTCGCCGTTCCAAGTCCAGACTGTCACGGCGTGGCGTCTACGTGATATCGGCACTGGTGGTTCTCTTGCACCTGTCGGTCTCACTCATCGTCTTCTCGCAACGGCACCCCTCCTCGACGGGCCGTGGCCGGTCGCCATCCAGCTCCGCGGAGCCACAGTCGGGGATCGAAGTGTCCGCGCCTCAGAGGGGGGGTTTTGAGATTCTGCTCAACCCAAGGAAACACCGGTCCCGTGAGCAGGGAACCCGGAAGTACCGTTGGGTCGTCAGTCAGGCTATCATATCCCCGGACGGTGTTGAGAAGGAGGTCTTTCTCATCAACGGTTCGTTCACATTCTCCCGCCCGGCATAGACATGCATATACTCTTCTCTTTCTCATATATACGGCATTCAATGGACTCTCCTAACCCGCTTGCTCTTATAGGCATATTTCCCGGTCCCACCATTGAGGCTCGCTCCGGAGATGTGCTCGAGATCGAGATTGTGAATCATTCTGACGAAGGAGTGTCGTTCCACTGGCACGGCCTTCATATGAGAGGTTGTCTCTCTACCCACATCTAACTAGTGATATCCCTTCCTGGTCTTTCTAGTCGTTGCTGATATCTAAACTGTCCAGGGGCCAACCATATGGACGGGCCTGTTGGCATCACTCAATGTGCGATCCAACCGGATGGGCACTACACATATCGTGTACCCGTAGCCGATCAAGCAGGGACGTTCTGGTACGATGGTTTTTCCGCTCTGTCCCGCATGAATACAGCACGATATACTACCAGCAGTACTAAGACATGTCACAGGTACCACGCCCATTCCAACGTCCAGCGCGGCGATGGCCTGTACGGAGGCCTCATCGTCCACAGCCCGGAGAATGACGAGGCCGTCGTCTACGACTACGATGAAGAGCTGCTGCTCATGGTAGGAGACTGGTACCACCGATCATATCAGGACGCTCTCGGCTCATCCATGAGCGTACCGAGCACGGGGGATGAAGTATGTGTACCTCTACCGTTGCCCTGGTAGACATCCCGGCTCTGCGAGAAGCGTGCGCTGACTTCTTCACCCGAAGCCGGCCCCTGATTCTCTCCTCATCAACGGCCAGGGCCACTTTGAATGCTCCATGGCTGTCCCTGCTTCGCCAGCAGACTGCACCGAGGTGTCGAAGCCGTGGCTCAGTCTGGACAAGAAGCACAGCTACAGAGTGAGGGTCATCAATGTCGGGTGAGCAGGCATCCACCGTTCAACACATGGATCACAGGAGGTCGTTGCTGACGGCTCGAGGGGGTTCTAGCTCTCTGGCCGGCATATCGTTCTCGGTGCCCGATTCCGAGATGCAGGTCATCCAGGTGGATGGTGGGCGGCGGGTCGACTCAAACAAAACGTCCAACTCGATGGGGGTCCTCTATCCCGGGGAGAGGGTGGACTTTCTGATGTCATGGCCGGAAGCTGCCCTGGACATGGACACGGAGCTCACGGTGCAGCTGGACAGAGAGTAGGAGGAGATCAGCCCACCCGACCACATTCTTCCAACCATTGTCCGTGGGAAGGGGGGTCCGCTGCTGACGCCGGAGACCGATGCAGGTACTTTACGCGGCCCAACCTTGCCCCGACGCCCGACCAGTCGTTCGCCTTGACTGTAGAGGCCTCCACACGGAGACCTGCGAGGAGCAGCTCAGAGATTACACATTTCAACCTGTCGGGGATCGTGGGCATGCCCCTTTCGCGACTGCTGCCGAAGCCCCTCACGACATTCACCGTCTTCTCTGCCATCGAGATCACGTCGCGCAAAGGCATGGTGCCGAAAGGCTTCATCAACCATACCGCATGGGTACCCCAGTCTCGCCCGCTCATCACCCTGAACCCAGAAGACTGGAACGAGCATCAGTTCGTCCCCTGGACGGGGGCCGAGCCCGGGTGGGTCGAGCTGACGATAAACAACGTGGACGGGACAGGTTATCCGTTCCACCTGGTAAGGAATACCTGCCAAGGGAAACACTGAAGACTCTCGGCCACTAACCGTGTTGATACCAGCATGGTTTTGACTTCTACGTGGTGGGATCACACCAGGCGAATGGTGGACGGGACCATTACGACCCCTTTGATTCCAAGAAGCCGCGAGGCGGACCATTCAACCTGGAGAATCCCGTGTCCAAGGATACGGTCTATGTGCCGCCGCATGGGTACGTGGTGATCCGGTTCAAGGCCGACAATGAGGGCATCTGGTTGCTGCACTGCGACGTCTTGTGGCAACAGGGGAGCAGCATGGCAATGGCGTTTCAGGTCATGGGCAAGGCCGATGAGGGTGTGACGGGGACATGGTCTTCGAATATAGCCGGAGATTACTGTGCCTCTATAGACGGTGACGATGCATCGGAGAGTCAATAGTCGTAGGTAGAATAGGTGTCATGACAGCCATTCAAGGATAGCACTTGTATTCGTAAAGGTCGACGATGATGGACGATGACGGCAGCAGATGCAGGTTAAGAGGGATGTCTCTCTGTTGAAGGCTGAAGCTGGGCACGACGTAATAATAGTGGGGGCGGTCACCAGGATTCAGGGACCGGTCCGCTACTCTGAAGTGTTGCAGCTGTCAAGTTGCTCAGGCCTCGGGACGGCCAAGTGACAGGATTCACGTCATCATTCCCGTTATCAAAAGTCGGTTCTTGCCTTTCAGGTGATGGAGCATGGAGATATGGAGTTGTAGTATTTGCTGACCATTCTGTTTGGCTTACAGGAGAACACCGTGGCTTTGGACGCGTGACCTCTTTTTGTCAGCCTTGGCAGCCTGGTCACATAGACGACTTGTGTTCGCCACGATCTAGGAGTTGGCTTTCGCCCGAGCAAGCCAAGCAAGCTGCTTCTTGTCTCTTCAACCGCCGAATCATTGGCTCTGCCCTATCCAACCGAGAGGGGAGCCAAAAGGAATTTTTTTTTTTTTTCCGAACAGAACGCTTGTTTCACTATGTGGCACTGACATATTCCGACATCACCCTCCTCCTCTCGAAATCACTGACCACACCGCCTACCGTCCATCCGTATCGTCATCATGGACTACTCCCGACTACGCGCCGCGGCGCTTCGAGACGGCGAAGATGAAGAGGCCGTCACGGTCGACACCCGAGCCCTGATCGACAAGGTTCTCGCCCGCTACTCCGGGGAGTGGACAACGCTGCGGGAGCTCATCCAGAACGCCGCCGACGCCCAGGCCACGACCGTCTCGGTCAAGTGGGAGACGCTGCCGTCGACCCAGGTGCCCATGCCTAGTACCACGAGCCGATCCGAGCTGCTCAAGCACGTGATATCTCACCACACCGTGTGCCGTCTCGTCGTCCAGAACGACGGCCAGCCCTTTACCAAGACGGACTGGGGCCGCCTCAAGAGGATCGCCGAAGGTAACCCGGACGAGACCAAGATTGGTGCCTTCGGCGTCGGCTTCTACAGCGTCTTTGCCGACTGCGAGGAGCCCTTCGTCAGCTCCGGCGACGAGGCAATGGCCTTCTACTGGAAGGGCAACGCCCTCTTCACCAAGAAGTCGCACATCCCCAAGGACCAGGCCACCCACCACACCACCTTTGTCCTGGACAACCGCAGCGCTACGACGCCCTTGCCCAACCTACTGTCCGTCAGCCAGTTCCTGGCCACCAGCTTGACGTTTGTGGCGCTGCAGAGAATCGAGTTCTGGATCGACGACTACCAAATCTTGTCCCTCAAGAAGAAGACGTCCCCTAGTGCCGAGCTGCACCTCCCTCGGGACCTGGAGGCCAGGACAAAGGAGGGCATCATGAAGGTCATCGCCGCCGGTCGGACCAGCACCCAGATTGATGCATCCTTTGTGAATGCCATAGGCTGGAAGCCCCAGACGGTCAACGTTGCGGCCAAGACTCCCGAGGCGGCTTCGTCAACCGAACCGTCCTCGCTACGGTCCTTCTTCGCTCGCCTCACCACCGCCACCTCCCAGTCGGCGTCCAAGACCAAGGCCCAGAATGAGGAGCGTACGGCACAGACGACCATTGCCGAGGACGTCACGAAGATGAACACTTCCACCATCTTCCTCCAGGCCACCACGGCCGAGATCCGGACCAATGTGACGTCGTCTTTTGCTTCTGAGCTGGAGCGCGCCACCAAGAAGCCACCGCCCAAGAGCACCAAGATATCCATCCTCACCTCCTCGTACGACGGAACGAATCTGTCCGGCCCTACCGGGCCTGGTACGGCAATCTCCAAGGCCACAGATGTATTCGCCTCCGTCCTCCCCAGCAAGAAGCCTGGCGGTCGTGTCTTCATCGGCTTCCCTACCATGCAGACTACGGGGGCTGGCATGCACATATCGGCCCCCTCGACGATTCCGACTGTGGAGAGAGAGGCCATCGACCTCAATGCGCGGTGGGTCAGGACGTGGAACGTCGAGCTGCTTCGCGCCGCTGGCATCGTCGCTCGTCTCGCCTTTGCCAACGAGATGAACGATCTGAACGTGGAGATCAAGCGCAGCCTGGACAAGCACGGAAAGTTCTCGGACGAGAACGTCAAGAAGTTTATGCCCATGGCATCGCATATCCTGAAGACTTTCTACTTTGGTGACTCGACGCCCAGCGGTCAGGTGGGACAGATCATCGAGGAGGCATTCTGGACCTGCTTCAAGAAGGCGTCCATCGAGGTCTACTCGTCACAAGGCGTTCTGCAGACATCCCAGGTCCGGCTGGAGTCGTCCGAGCTCACCGGCTTCATCGACAGCATACCTGTTCTCCCCAAGGAGATGATCCAGGACCCGTTTGTCCGGAAGCTGATCGACTTTGGCCTCATCTCCGACATCACCGTCACCGACATCAAGAGAGAGCTGGAGGCTAAGTCACTCAACAAGGACCAGCTCATCCAGTTCATCAGCTGGGCGGGAAAGAAGAGCCTCACGGGCGAGCTCGACTCCGGAAGCAGGACGTCACTCCTGGAGGTCGCAGTCGGCACCGTCGATGAAGACAAGGGCGAGATCATCACGCTCGGTAGCATCGCTAACTACCTGGTCAGCAACAAGATCCCCGCACACCTGCCCGTGCCGCCTACCACTATCCCCTTTGCCTTCACCATCAACTCGACGGCGGCAGAGCTGCAGTTTCTGGGTTGGGAGCCGCTCGAGATCGTTCCCTGGTTGCGGTTCCTGCTCGAGAGCAACTCGTACAGGCCGGAAGAGGAGAGCATGACCAAGTCACCCAAGTTCGCTATCCAGATCCTCACCGTCTTATCCAAGAACTGGGACACCATCAACGCCAACGCACGACGTGTAGTCGCGGAACTCCTGGAAAAGCAGCCAGTCATGCCGACAAAGACGGGGATGAAGAGGCCGGGAGAGGCCTTCTTCCCCTCCGTGAAGCTCTTTGATGACCTCCCTACCATCGAAGGCTGCGAGAAGGTCAAGGAGAAGTTCTTGGCTGCCATCGGCGTCCGCAAGACTCTCGACCTGGAGACCATCTTCACCCGACTCCTCAGCCCCTCGTCGTCCGAGAAGAGCCAGCAGAAGTGGAGTCACGTCGAGCTCATCAAGTACCTGGCTTCGGTCCAGAACGACATCCCCAAGGCTGATTTCGACAAGCTCCGCAACTCGGCCATCTGCCCGGCAGAGGCCGGCCCCAAGGGCTTGGAGCCTACAAAGGGGACGGAAAAGCTGTACAGGGTGTCCGATCTGTTCGAGCCCAAGGATACCCTGAGAACACTCCAGCTGCCCATCATCCAGTGGCCAGGACCGCCCGGGAGTTTCCGTCCCAGCAGCCCGGAAGCCCGTTTCCTGACCGTCCTCGGTCTGCGGCCGCACCCTTCCGCCCCCGAGCTTGTAGAGATGATGTCGTCCAAGGATGGTGCGCTGCGGACGTCGGCCATGACGTACTTCATCGCCAACCACCACAGCAACCGCTACGGCGCATTCGACCTCTCCACCTGCCGCAAGGCCATTATGCCCTTGCAGGGCAGCACGCAGCTCGTTCAGCCCTCGGCGTGCTTCACGAACGAGAGAGCCTCTGCGCTTGGTTTCCAGATCTTGAGAAAGGACCTACACGACCACGCTACGGTACGTACTGCTACTGCGGAGTACATCATCAGTCCGTTGCTCCGTCATGCTAACTGACGTATGCAGAAATTCGGCGTCCCTCGCGATCCGCCGATGAATGAGTGTGTCAACCGACTACTGGCCAACCCGCCGCAGAGCTACGGGGAGGCCGTATCCCTGTTCGGGTACTTTGCCCCACGGATCGGTGAGCTCGGAGGAGTCAAGGCCAAGCTTGCCAATGCCGCAATCGTTCCCGTGACTCGATCTTCACTCTCTCGGGAGGGCGAGAAGACCGGGACGGCGGTATCGCACATCAGTCCGTCACGGACCTACCTCGGCTCATCCCTGACGTATGGCGACATCTTCGACTTTGTCGACTTTGGTCAGGATGCGAATGCCTTCCTCTTCACCTGCGGAGCCAAGAACGAGCCTACCAAGCTGGAGGTGGCGCACATGGCATGCAAGGAGCCCGCGAGGCTCCTGAGCGTCCTCCAGAGCCCCGAGAAATACCTCGGGCTTCTCAAGTCACTCGCCGAAGAGTCCGCCGCCCTGCATCGCGACAAGGATCTCTGGCGCAAGATGAAGACGTCGGGCTTCCTCCTCGCCTACAAGGAACTCGCAGCACCTTCCAAGGACGAGTCGCTGATTGACCTGGACGAGGACGAGGAGGCCGCGCCCGTGAGGCAGTACCAGCTGGCTCCCGCCGGCAGCATCGTAGTCGTGGACGACATCATCAGCTTCCGGCTGTTCAAAGACCACCTCTTGTGCGCGCCGGAAGACGACACGCTCGAGAAGTTCTACCTCTCCCTGGGCGCCCAGAAGCTGGGCAGCATCGTGCAGGAGGACGTGCGGATCGGGCCGCAGACCGGCAGAGGTAAGAAGGCCGACTCTCTGCGAAAGCATGTCATCGAGCGGTCCAAGATCTTCCTCTACGAGTACGCCAACTACCGCCGGGACTCCGTCAAGCACGATAGCAAATGGCTCGAGAAGAATCTGCAGGTGGAGATGGTGACCTCGGTGGCCCTGCGCCGCACTCTGCAGGGCCAGCGTCAGAGCCACGTCGAGAAGCGTACCGCGGCCAGCGCCCAAGCATCCGGGGCCTGGGTCCTCTACGTTGCCGATGCTGGACAGCCGGACATGTATCAGGTCGGGCAGGCTCTGTGCCAGATGCTCCTGGATCGCCCGAACCAGCAGGCGTACCTGTTCTTCGAGCCGTTCCTGACGCTCGATCTGTACGGTCTCAGGTCCCGCGGCTACAATGTCGACCGCATCCTCCGAGCCAAGGCTGCCGAGGCCAGGATCGCCGAGGACGCGAGGCGCAAGGCGCTCGAAGAGGAGCAGAGCAAGATGAAGGAGCGGGAGAGGCTCTGGGCCCAGCAGGCAGCTGCGGCTGGTACGACTCCCGAATCGCCCGCCGCCACTGCTGCCGCCGCCGGGCGCTCATCAGACGTCGCACGGACGCCAAAGCAGGCTGAGCCCGTGATGCCCGGTTCGTGGGACTCGCCCGAAGACTCCAACACGGACCTGGCGGATCTCGCCAAGCGCGGAAAGAGCCTCTTCACCAACTTCACCCGCCGTCTCGGCCTGGACACTCAGGGTGGCGGCAGCGGCAATAACGGTGGCGGATCGAAGATACTGGAGCAGCTCGAGCAGAGCACGGGCCAGACCACCAGGCAACCGGAATCGTCAACGTCAGGCACCGATGCCGGCGGCGGCAGCAGCGGCACCAGATCGCAGCAGAGCGACGACGGACGCGTGACGAGCCCGGCAGCCATCCAGCAGAACCTGCTCAAGGCCGTCAACGCGACCAGAGCCCACGGGTCGTCGAGCGTCTTCTCCCAGCCAGAGGTCAACCGGGTCAAGGAGCAGGCGACGTACTGCGACCAGACGCCGGCGCAGAACATCACCCTTGCGGCCGAGGCGTCCAACGGCGTCCATGTGTACGTGTCGCGCGACATGAAGGCCGACCCGTCCAACTTCCTCGCGACCAACATCGGAGCCATCAACATGTTCGCCTCGATCCTCGGCGACGTGGGCGAGATATACTCGCTGTCGCGCGACGTGCTGCACATCTACTACGACGAGACGGGCGGATCCATCGCCTTCAACAAGGGCGGCAGCCTTTTCTTCAACCTGCGCTTCTACCTGCAGCTGCATGCCCAGCACGTCGAGGGCTCCCGTCCACGGGAGGGCAGGGCTGAGGCTGCGACGTGGTGGTGGGTCGTGTTTGCTCACGAGCTGGCTCATAACCTCGTCACGACACATAACTCTGATCACAGTTATTACACGTATGTACCCCCCCGCGTACCCTCGTATCACACAACCTATATTCAAAACGACTCGACCGAGGAAGAAGAAGGAGGAACAAAGACGCTGACTATCTTCCGACTACTACTACTACTACTACTAGTGAATCGTTCATTCAAGAATACTTTAGCAAGATGATGGTCAAGGTGTCGCGGTGGCTCCAGGACAGACCTGCTTCCCAGCAGCAGCAGCAGCAGCAGCAGCGTCAATCGACACCATCTGACGGGAGGGGACCGCCGCCTCCATACTCGACGTCGTTTAGTTGAGACATACCGGGGGGATGTTGTATATGCTGCATGTGTGTGCCTTGAACGACAATAGACTACCTGGAATAGAGATGAGTATGTGAGTATGTGGTGCTTTTGTTATTCTTGTTCCTAGTCTTGAGGCGCTTGGCATAAGTCACGGTAATAAGCGCTCATCGTACGATTTACTAGTTGAGATTCTATGATTCCGACTATTTATCCTGTTGACATTTGCGTGTGCATATACAAATGCCCATTGTAGATGACGGAAATGATGGTCGAGAATATTATTATGGAGTAGAGTGGACTCCTCCTCATAGCAGAAAGTCCGGAGTAATCGGGGAAAGTTGGAAAAGTTGGAAACCAGGACGAGACGATTGGTCCGTCATGGCACGGGTGAGTGCGGGTTAAAATCACGTGATGTGGAGAAGAGACCCACATCTCCCCCATCGTCAGGCCAGGTCCCCGAGGCCTCAGTTGATGGATTGAACAACGTACGCGATTATCGAATCCGCTGCCGCCCCATTGTCGCTGTATTCCGGAACCGGGAGTCTGGAAAAGAAGAAGAAGAAAAGACACATCGAAACGACGCACGCATAAGATAAAGAACCGCAATCATGGTCCACCGCATCGCCTTCTGGAGCTTCTTCGGTAAGCCCACTCTCCCCCGACAACACTCCCTTAGCTTAGGAACATCCAACCGGTATCCTAAATGGCGGGGGGAGGGGTTCCAAAAAGGAATTAGAGAGAGAAGAGGGGACATAGAGAGAAAGAGATAGATAGAGAGAGAGAGAGAGAGAGAGAGAGAGAGAGAGAGAGAGAGAGAGAGAGAGACTAATCGCTATTGAACGGATAGGCGTCGCCGCTCGCTTCTGGCAAATGGGCATCGAGATGCGTCCGCTCTTCAACAAGTCTTCCCTGTGGGCGTACCCCGTCTACGCCGCCGGCGGAGCCAGCTTCGGATACTGGCTGCAGGGCGTCGACGACAGGCAGACCGCTCTGCTGACGGAGCGCAAGAACAGTCTCCTCGACAAGAGGGCTAGGGCGGCTGCTAGGGAGGCCGCCGCCGAGGCTGATGCTTCCTAGTGAAGGGGAAGGGGTGCGGGTTCCGGTGAAGATGGGATTCGAATTCTGAGTGTGAGATGGTGAGGGCGGGGCATCTGTATATATCGTGCTTCTTTCCTTCCCTTTCCCTTTCCTTCTGCTGTCTGTCTTCTCTCTACCGTGTGACAAGGGAAGAAGGAGGGAGCGGCCATGTGGAAGACTGCACACAATCGCACAGGTCAATGGGATTCTACGTCTTGCCTTGCTTTTCCTTTTCTTCCTTCTTCTATTTTTTTTTCTCTAGTAACAACGTGCTTCTTCAGACACATTGTCGAGTGACCTGACTATTCGCGCAACGATGTAGGTCGATGAGAGAGATGATTCTGGGCCGGATCAATTTCATATGTTGACCTTCCGCTTTTTGTCTAATAAGCAACAACCTCTCCCCCCTACAGCAAGAACAACAACCCCTTAAAAAGACCCTCCCATTTCAGCCAGGCCTAAATCACCTCGAGTTTCCTAAGCAACGACGCCACAGACGAAGAGGTCTCGTAGCCCAGCTCATTGACGATAGAGTCAACATACTCAGGCCTGGTGGTGTCGAAAAGGAGGCGGAAGTCGTGCTCGGTGCACCTCTCGGGGTCGATCTCGTTGTAGGTGAGCGAGTCGACGGAGACGCGGTCGGTGAAGTTGACGGCCTCGCACAGGGCGGTGAGGTGGACGCCGACGTCCCTGGCGGCAATGGCGACGTCGCAGGTGCCGGCGCGGGCGTACAGGGCGCCGTTGCTGAAGACGGACTCGGCGCCGACGAGGACGCAGGTGGCGTCGGCGAGGTGCGAGCGCAGCACGCCCAGGTCGGCCGCGTACGTGACCCTGTCGTAGCCGATGGCCGAGAGGCGCTTGGCAAAGGCCAGGCCTGTGCGGTCAAAGGGGTCGTCGAGGACGGTGATGGCGTAGTTGCGCCCCATGTACCTGGCCAAGGCGAGGGCGTGCTCGACCAGGCGGTGGTGTCCGTAGGTCACGATGACCTCCTCCTCGCCCAGGTGGTCCGTGACCGAGCCGGAGATGAGTGGACGCGCGAACCGGATGCGGTCCCGGATGAAGACGTCGATGGCCTCGCACAGGAGCTTGCGTGCCTCAAAGTCCGCCAGGTCAATGTCCACCTTGCTGATCTGCAGCTTCAGCCACCGCACCGCGTTACCCATCGAGTAGCACATCGGGCGGCATGCCGCCAGGTACTCGACCTGGGGGTTGAGGACGTGCGACGTGAAGTGTCGCGAGAAGGTGGTGCCCTGAGGTGTGGTGTACGAGCTGATGACCTATTCGTTTTGGGCGTCTCGTCGTCAGTATATAGATGCCGGAAGTGAAGGGGGGGGGAGGGCGACAATACAAGCGCACTCTGGAGAGAGCCCTCACCTTCTTGAAAGCAAGGAGAGTGATCTCGACTCGCGTGGTGCTATCGGACACGTTGAAGGTTGCCATGTGCTGGCCGACCATGAGCACGGCGGGATGGACATCCTTGTCAGCCTGGGTGAGCGATATCCTCTTCGCGACGGGGAGATGGCTGAAGCATTCTGGGATGACCGGTTTCGCAGCCTCGACGGCGGCGGCGGCGGCGGCGGCGGCGGCGGCAGCGGCAGCGGCGGAACCCGCTGCCGGTCGCACGGCCAGCTTCTGTGACGGCCCGCTGCCGTCCTGCTTAGGCTTCCCTCCCTTCGCACCCTTTGCGTCCCCGGCCGCTCCCTGGGAGCCGGAGGGCTGTGTCGACTGCAAGGATGCCTTGGCCTGTGCTCGCCTCGCCGCCTTCTCCTCCTTGGCCTTCTTCTTCAGCTCGGCATTGGTGAGCTTCTTCTCGCCAGTGGGCGCATCGGCAGCAGCAGCAGCTGTCGATTCCGGGACGGCTGCTGGGGCCGCTGCCTGGGCCGGAGCTGGGGCAGGGGCTGCCGTCTCTGTCTTTGACTGCTGCTGCTCGTCCTTGACCTGGTCCGGCTGTTGCCGGGGCTGCTGAGGCTGCCGGTCTACTTCCGGCGCTGTACCCGACACAGCAGCGGCAGCAGAAGCGTCGCCCGACTCGGCTGCCATGGGCCTATACGTATCGGTGGTGGCAGTGGGAGATGGGGGAAGAGACGATGTCGCGGGTTGGACCGAGAGGCTGCTGTGAGGTTGCGAAAATCGGAGAACGTGATTCGACAGAGAAAGGAGCGTGGAGAGATGTCTGGAGGGCGTTCCGACAAAAAAAGACATGCAGTCTCCCCGATACCAGAGGCTGTATGGGTCTGTCTAGATGCAAGGCACAATCGGTGCCGCTCGCCAAGAGTCGTCGTGTTTGCTGATTAGACTGTATCTGACAGGCAAATGAAGGTTGAGTCATAGTCACAGAAAATAGTGGCGGTTTGCATTAGTGGGGGGGAGGGTTCGGATTTTGGTAATAAAACTGTGCCCCGCGCTGCTGGGATGGGTGATCAAGGCTGAATCATGACCAGCTTCCTCCACGGTATTCACGTGGGGTGTTTCGCAGATGAATAATATATCATCATACTACTAGCAGTAGGTAGACATCAGGCATCTATCAGGCATTCTATGCATCTACGACGTACATTACAATACAGAGTAATACTCCGTATAGATATCCACGTCTTACAATGATGCCGGCGCTGTAGGCTGAGGGTCACGCCGCAAGTGTTAGGGGTCGGCAGAGTGAAGAGGGTGGATTTCATCTTCATGTGCCACGAACAACAATCGTAAGAGTCATCGAGGAGCACAAATACCACTTTGATGCAATGTGCGACTCTCTTGGGTTCAGTGGAGGGAATATTGTGCACCATCATCCAATCGCCCCAGACGTCCTGGTAGATGATGCTGGCCGTGGCCGTGCATCATCACATCACATCACACGAAAAAAAAAAGTAAAAATACTTCGCCCAATACGCGTCACTCATCATCACTTCTCTTCTACCACGTCGGGGTATTGACACAGCTCACATTCAACGTCTCATCCAGATCTCAAGACACAGGGCACCCAAGTGTCTGCTGCGTTTGCTGCGCTCTGTGTACTGACCGACAGACACATCGTAGCCTGGTCACCGTCACCACTCCTTCTTCACGTCGGACCAGCAAGGGACCGAATCGTAACGAAAGAAAAAAAGACCATCCAATGGAATTTGATAGAGTTCCAAAAATTCCCTAGCCAGGCGAACCCAACTAGGAGCGGTTTGTGTATAGTTTTCAACTAGCAAAATTCCTCTCTCAGCTTATCGCTTCACGGAGAAGGAAAACGCCCGTGCACTCGGATGGAGGAGAAAGGAAGGAAAAGAAAACTGAAAGAGGGAGCGGGCACGGAAGGAATTTATAGCCTTCACGTTCAGGGGAGCCCGAGCCACTGGCTGTGATTAGGTAAGGATATTCTATCCTTCTCATTGGACAGGGCCAGTTTTTATTGTAATTTTTTCTTCCCCTTTCTGCCTTGCAACCTTGGCGCCTCCAACATTGGGGCCTTGGGGGAAATGAGGCTTCGGTAAAGCCTTACGGGCCTCAGTCATTCATTTTTTTTCCCCCTGTCAATTGTCATTGTCATCCTCATTGTCGCCTGGAAGGAAGCTGGGGTGGACTCCATACGAGCAGCTTTAAAGGAAGATGCGGGCAGCGACGCCAAGCTTGACTCTTTCCTATCGATCATGATGACAATGCATGTAGAGAAGTCCGCATCATCATACTGTACCTCTGTGCTCCTTGAACATATCATGGTCACCGTCGCATCACCCTTGGCAGATGTCCCAAGTCAAGCAAGCCCTCTCTGGCTTAGTCACAATGACATTTCCCACTGCCGTGGGATGAGGAGCATCCTTCCATGTCTACATGTTAGTACTTACTATCAAGGAAACGATCAGAATGAAAATGAACAGGTGCAGAGTGCTAGCACTTGACCATTATATCTCTCATCTCCGATAATTGTATTATGCAACCGGCTGTTACTGCCGTACTATCGACGGAATCAGAGTCCACCAAATCTCCAAGACACAGCAAGTCCGCCGGAGTCGGAGCTACCCTCCCTCATACGACAAAGTACTCACTCGTAGCTCCCCCCCCTCTCCCAAAAAAAAAAAATCCCGACGGTCGCAGCAGCCATCTTCGCTCATTTCTCGACACCAAAACACTCTGACGACAACGACAACCACGACAGGCCAATTGACGAGGAGGAGAGAACGAGAAAGACGCCATCATGAAGCTCACACGGGCCTGCTACTCGGCCTCGTCGCTGAGCTCCATCCCCCCAGCCAAGGTCAAGTACGTTCCGCAGTCGGGGACGTATCCGCAGGGCTTCAGCGCCTCGGGCGTCTTCGTCGGCGTCAAGCCTGGAAACACGAGCAAGCCCGACCTGGCTCTCGTCACGTCGGACCGCCCCTGCTCCGCGGCCGCCGTCTTCACCAAGAACAAGTTCCAGGCCGCCCCCGTCACCTTCAGCCGCAAGGTTCTGCAGACAAAGGCCAACGCCGGCATCCGCAGCGTCATCATCAACTCGGGCTGCGCCAATGCCGTCACCGGCGTCGGAGGCCTCGAGGATGCCGCCAAGATGGCCAGCACCACTGACCAGCGCGTCGGGTCCGAGGACTCGACCCTCGTCATGAGCACCGGTGTCATCGGGCAGAGGTGAGAGAGACTGGGCCGCCGGATGATTTGCAGGGAGAGGAGGGAGGGTGTGTGTGTGTGTGTGTGTGCATGTGTGCTGACTGCCTCGATTCTTCTTCTTCTTCTTCTTCTTCTTCACCAGACTGCCCATACAGAAAATCATCGACCACATCCCCGTGGCCTACCATCAGTCCGGCGACACCCACAAGCACTGGCTCAGCTGCGCCAAGGCCATCTGCACGACCGACACCTTCCCCAAGCTCATGTCGCGGACCTTTACGCTGCCGTCCTCCCCGGGTATCGAGTACCGCCTGGCCGGCATGACCAAGGGTGCCGGCATGATCGCCCCCAACATGGCCACCCTCCTGACCGTCCTTGCCACCGACGCCCCCGTCTCCCCCGCCGTCATGCCCCAGGTCCTCAAGCACGCCGTCGACCGGTCCTTCAACTCCATCACCATCGACGGCGACGCCTCGACCAACGACACGGTGGCGCTGCTGGCCAACGGCGCCGCCGGCGGCACGGAGGTCGCCTCGGAACGGTCGGCCGACTACGCTGCCCTACGCGACATCGTCACCGACTTCTCGGCTGATCTGGCCAAGTACGTCGTCCGCGACGGCGAGGGCGCCACCAAGTTCGTCACGATCCGCGTCGTCGAGAGCGCCACCGAGGAGGCCGCGCGCGAGGTCGCCCGCTCCATCGCCCGCTCCCCGCTGGTCAAGACGGCCCTGTACGGCCGCGACGCCAACTGGGGCCGCATCCTCTGCGCCGCCGGCTACGCCCTCATCACCCCTCCCGGCCAGCCCCAGAACGACGTCCCCGAGATCGTCCCCGAGCGCACAAACGTCTCCTTCATCCCCACCGACGGCTCACCCGAGCTGCGCCTCCTGGTCAACGGCGAGCCCGAGCAGGTTGACGAGGACCGCGCCAGCCAGATCCTCCAGATGGAGGACCTCGAGATCGTCGTCAGGCTGGGCACCGGTGACAAGAGCACCACCCACTGGACCTGCGACTTTAGCCATGACTACGTCACCATCAACGGCGACTACAGGACGTAAGTAGCTGACCGCGCCTCGCTTCGTATCGTAGATATATAAATAAATAAATATATATATATATATATGTATATAAAACATATATGAAAGACCCGATGTGTTGTTATTTCTTTTCTTTTCCTGCTTCTTGCGCCGAACTCTATGAACCTA